CTGCAGCTGTAAAAAAAGTATGTTGTAATGCTATGTTACCCCCTGTGCTTCGAGGCACGTAGCCGGAACCTGTACTAGTATAAAATCTCTCTGCTTCTTGGATACAGGACTGCTCTCTGTGCAGCCACCTCATGGCTGTGCAGAGGGTAGTTGCTGGCCTGGCCTTCTAATGAAGACTCTCAATTCGACTTAATTCGGTCTTAGGTGGTCTTTTCTGGCACTCCAGACCATAACAATCTTCATGTCTCCCCAACCATCAGACTTTCAGCTTCTAAATGTAGCAATACTGGTAGTACACAGTGGGAAAGGCTGAGGATTGAATTCGAAAGTGCTCGAGTTGCCCTCAGGGCCGTGTCGGCCGCACAGGCACACCTGGGAAAGGTCCCTGGAGGACACGGGCAGCCTCCAGCCCGGCTCGGCCCGTGATGGGCTCCGTGTGAACACGGGGTGCAGTGGACGATTTCCAGGGGAGGAGGCGGCACAGCGCCTGCAGTCCCACTGCCCGCCTGAGGCCCTGCCCCTTGTCCCTTTGCTCACCCAGGTTCTCGCAGCTGTCGCGTGACAGAGCCAGGCCTGCACTGGTCTCCAATGCCCGGGCTGTGGGCATCCCTGCTCTGCCACTGAGATCGGTATGTCACCGCAAGCTAGGCAATGTCCACGAGGCAGAATCAGAAGGACGAGGACAAGTGGCTTAGGGAGGAAGGAAAGAGACATTTTATTACTTTACCAGCAAGTGAGGAAAAATGGCAGACCTTATCTTCTCGAAATCCACATTTCCTAAACATTCACAGAAATACACAGCTTTTAAAGAGTTTCAGGCAATCACTGTTCAACTATGGCTGATGATTCTGATGTGTCCCATCTCCGCTGAAGACAGTCTCGTGACCTCCGCCCAGGACCTCCCTTTACCAGGTCAGGCTGGCCCATCTCCTATTGCACAAATAGCAAAAGACTCACCCTGCACCTCCCCCCGCCCCAGCTCCCCACCAGCCACTGGCCTGGGGCAGGGCTGCGGCTCGCAGAGCCTCCCTCTTCCCAAGGTAGCCCCGGTGCAGCACGCGCTGCCTCCCCTACCCGGGCATAGCAAGGTCACACTAGATCAGGGATTCCCAGCCAGGGGCGGTTTTGCCTCCAAGAAGCATGTGCAACGTCTGGAGGCATCTTGGTTGTCATATCTGGGGACCACTGGCGTCTAGCGAGTACAGGCTCAGCTGCTGCTAAACATCCTACAGTGCACAGGGCAGCCTCCAGCTCCCAGAGCTGTCCCGCCCAGTTCGACCGGCTAAGGGATGCCAGAGAGCTGCCAGGCATGGTTTCCGGGTGTCGGTGGGGGCGTTTATGGAAGAGCTCAGCATTTGAATCCATGGACTCAGTACATACGACACTGTCTCAGCTTCTCCTGAGCTTCCATGTCAGGGCTTCTGGTTCTCGGGCCTTCACACTCAGATGGAATTGTTGCAGCAGAGTTGACCGGAAATAGACCGAGCCACACACAGAAATATGGCAAAACAGGTTTATATACGCCGGCAGGCTCAGACGGGGATTTTTCCTCCCATATTCTGGCCCCGAATAAAGAACGTATCAGTCTTTTATACATTTTGCTTGGGGCACAGTTAACGAGTGAGGAAGTGGGGCATAGTTACAATGCGGTCATTCTTCAGTGGCAGCAGGGTCCAGAACACCCTTAGTTCCAGGTACAGAGTTCCTATGGAATGTCTTCCTGTCTCATCTCACCTCAGCAGGAGTTGTTGCAAGTGGTTTATAGCTGCTTAGGGAAGACAGTGGGGTAGAAGCCCTGGCAGTGGAATTTTCCACTACATTCCCCCCTTTGATGCCCCTATATATTTATCATGAGGCATTTGTTCTCATGTGTCTATTATAGGGCATCATTCTCTAATGGGTTATAGCCCCGTAAGGCCATTATGTGGGCTGCTGTCTTTTGAGCTAGAGTTGTTTTTATAAATTTTATAATTGCACTTAGTATGCATGGACCTATAGTGATAAGGAGGAGAATTAAAGGTCATTAAAGATCCTGCCAAGGGTAGTAGCCATGAGGTCCATTGGCCCAGATTGAGTCCCCAAGTTTGTTCTAGTTCCCTATTTGTTTTTGGACTCTTTCTTTATTTTTTTTTTTACCTTGGCTGTCACTATTCCGGACTGATTTACATAGTAGCAACATTCTTCTCCTAGGAATATACAGGTCCCTCCCTTTTCTGCAGTGAGGAGGTCTAGGGCTCACCTGTTCTGGAGGGTTAACTGCTGCCAAAGAGTCTAGTTGGTTTTGGAAGGTTATTAGGGAATCTGCTACCTGTTGTATGTCTTCGTTCAGTTCTTGAGATAGCTTTTGGTAGACATGTAGCGAAGTTCCTAATCCACCAAGTCCAGCCCCTACCCCAGCTATGATGCCTCCTCCCATAAGGAGTGCTATGAGTAAAGGAGCCGCTCGCTTTTCCCGGACACTTGGGTGGGGGCCTAAAACCGTCTCCATTTGAGGAGCGGTGTATATAGTGATGTCTGGGGTAAGGACAATCTGGGTGCAGACCCCAGTCCAGTTGACTGGGAGGCAGAGGTAAGCAGTGTTACCACAAAAGAAGAACATGCCCTCTCTCGGACAGTGCATACTGGAGTTGAGAATTTGGTTGTTGCTGCATAGACTGACTGGCAGCGTCTCTATAGTTTTACTTTTTTTAGGTTGATGAGACAAGCGATGTTGGATGTCTCAGCCAGGTGGATGTTACATGCCACTGGTCTGATTAGGTGTGTCTTGCTGGGGTTAATGGTGGAACTGACGGAATTGTTCCAAGCCGGGGGGGCAGGGACTCTAAGGTATACCCGTCTTTGGAGGGGCAGACAAATCCAACATTGGGTGTGATTGGGCAAAGCATTAAGGGTGGTGTTGAGAAACTTGCCTATCTGAGGAATAGTATCTAGGGGTCCCGAAATTGGCCTCATTATACTTGGCGGATCTGGAAGCTGTGAAGCAGCACTCTGGGGCCTCGAAGCTGGCTTTGACATACGCTCTGTACTTTCAATGTTTCGGGTTCCACTGAGGAGCCCTCAACGTACCCCAGCAGACTCTGGCACCCTTCTCTGGCCTGTTATCTTTGTCTGGTCCGCACCCGTCTTTTGTTGTAGTACCTGTCCAATATCTTTTGCCCCCACTGAGTGCAGATCTGTGGTTCTATGTAACAACCTCTCTTAAGACTGGTATAAGCCCAAAACTCTTTGGTTTTGTAACAAGGGTAAAAATTATCATCTAAATCATTACATTTTCAGATGTTCTGGATACATTCTGGAGGGCAAGAGAGAGGACTATTGATGACTGTAAGTGGGAGACAGACAAGGATTAGAATGGGGAACAACATTGTAACCAGAGAGGGGACCCTACTACAACCCAATATAAGATGACTAATATCAGTCTTTTTCTGGCCCCCAGTCCTCTGGGGCCACTGAGTGAAGTCCAATGCCCAGTAGTAGGGTCAATAGTTCAAACAGGCCAATGGCGATGTAATAGGCTGGCTCTGTCATTTGGCTTGGGTGACCTCTGGCGTGGTTGTTTGGCCGTTGCTACGCCAGAGATGGATCTTTAGTGGGTCCTCTGGGTTCTGGTTCTGTTACCCAAATGTCTCGGTTGTCCTCAGGTGTGGCCTTTTTACTCTCGTGTGATGAGCCTAGGGCACTGTCCCTGCAACTTTAACAGCAGTGGGTGTGATTAAGATTACAGGGTGGGGCCTGTCCAGGTGGGCTCTAGTGGCGTTTTCTTTTCATCTTTAACCGAAACTGAGTTTCTAGGCTGGTGTGTGTGGACAGGGTGTCCCATTGCTATAGGGACTCTTTCTATAACATTGTGATGAATCTGAGTCAGGGTTTTGGACAGGAAATAAGCTGTGTGTGTAGGGTTTTTTCTTTTTCTGGGTGACATTTTCCTTGAGCTGCCTGGTTATGGGTTGGGATCTTCCGTATAAAATTTCAAAGGGTGAATATCCTGTCGGCCCTGGAGTGCATGTGACTTTAAGCAATGCTAGACTAAGTAAGTCTATCCAAGGTAAGCATGTCTCTTGACATAGCTTTGCAAGGGTGCTTTTAAGGGTCCGGTTTATGCGCTCTACTTTCCCTGAGCTCTGTGGCCTGTATGCAGTATGGAGTTTCCATTTGATCTCTAATATCTTAGTTAAAGTCTGCGTGATCTCTGCCGTGAAGCTTGGCCCAGGGGTCAGAATAAATCCGCCATTTTATTTCTCTGGGAACTGTGACTGCCATTATCACGGACTTCAGGGCCGACAGCGAGAGGTCAGCTGCACCTGCGGGGTGGAAAGTGATTTGGGCCCCCAACTTGTGCAGGAGGTCCCATCCCAACAAGGGAACTGGACAGTCTGGGAGGTAGAGAAACTCGTGTGTTACTTGATGTCCCCCAAGCTGACAGGAGCGGGGCTGGCAGAAAGGCCTGCCTACCTGGTTTTCAGTGGCTCCAATTATGGTTGTCCCTAGCCCTGTGAGAGGGGCGATGTGGGTGGCCACCACTGCGTGCTCAGCCCCGGTGTCCCCCATGAAGGTTACAGGTCGGTCCCCCACATTCACAGTGACCATGGGCTCCTGGGGGCCAAGGTTAAGGGAGCCTAGTCAGTCCTAATGAGAGTTTGTGCCTGTAAGTTTAATGAGATCTTGGGTCTCTGGTTCCATCTGGAACCTCCGAGAAGGGCCTCTTCTTGAGGGGGGTCAGTCTTTTGGTGTGGGCACTCGTTTTTTTTTATGCCCCGTCTCTTTGTAGTATGCGCACTGGTCCGGTCTTAGTGTCCCCTTCCTGCGGGGTCCCCTCTCAGGTTTTGTACTGAGCCCCGGGGTAGACACAGGAATCCCGAGTCCCGCTGCCAGGAGGGTGGCCTCATGCTGCATCCTTTTCTCACTTTTCCTCCTGGGTCACACAATCTCAGGTCCAGTGCACCTTTTGGGCCACCTCTAACAATTAAGCGATGTTCATTTCCGCAAAACCTTTTAGCTTTTCAGGCTTTGGTGGCATTGGGCGCAGTCATGGTGATGCAGACGTCCCTCTTGGGGAACTTGTCACACTTGAGCATCTCGGGCCAGTAGAAGCCGAAGAACTGCATGACGGGCTCCCACGAGTCACTCACGGCCTCGCAGAGCCAGCGGCACGGGTAGATGGGCCGGTGGAGGCGCACAGGCGAGAAGAGCGAGCAGAGGAAGACCTGCGTGCCCATGCGGCGGTTCCTGTTGAGCAGGGACACCCAGCTGCTGGCCTGCTGCTTCGCCTCGGCCATGGTCTCGTGCTCCAGCAGGCTGGGCGGCACCATCCTCTTGCAGCCCACGTTGTGGCACAGCCGCAGGTCCGCAGGGATGTCCATGCACTGCGGCGACTTGGCGTAGAAGCCCGACTGGAAGCCTACGTAGTTGTACTCGCTAGCTGAGCCCGCAGTCAGGAGCGTGGCCGCCAGCGCCAGCAGCAGGCCCGGGCGGGCCCGGCGGTGGCCCCCACACCGTGCCCGCGGCCCCCGCCGGCTCTGCGCACTGGCTCCTCCACGTCGGGGCTGCCCGCCGCGTCTGCGCGCCCGCCGCACACTTCCAAGGGCTTCCGGGGACAAAAGGCGCCATCTCCAGCCCTGCCCCGCTCCGCGGCAGCGCACTCCTGCCTGGTCTGGCCGGTGGCGTCCCTCGGCCTGCCGCAGCCACCACAGCGGGAGTTCGCACGGGGCGCGGGGCGCGGGGCAGAGGCGGCGGCACCACTCTTGGGGCTGCCGCGTAGGCGCAACATCTGGGGCTGCTGCTGCGCCCACGTCTCTGGATGGAAGATGGCCGCTGGTGCGTTGTCTTGAACCCATTTCCGGGCCCCTGCGGCAATGCGGCGCCTGTCCTCAGTTTTGAGGAGGGTCAGGAGAAGTCGCCGACAGGCCTCCCAGGTGGGTTGATGATAGAGTACCGGCGGCCCCTGCTGGACAGCCCCACATCGGCAACCCGGAGTTGATTTCAGACCTCAGGGACCGGCCATTGGGGGGAGGGAGTTGGATTCTGGGCAGAACAGAGACGGTGACCTACCGGAGCTTTCTTAGCCGGCTCATGAGGCACCGGGGGCGGCGGGTCAGAGGGTGGCGCAGTGTCCGGTGCCAACAGTGTGGGTCCGGGAGTTGGGTCACCGGGATTGTATGGAGGAGGCAAGGGGAGTTCATCTTCCGGTGGCCCTTGGTGAACTTGTCGCGCCTTGACGTTGGGGTCAAGAGACTTTCTTGGCTTCTGAGCAAAGAGGACCTAACTCTGACCCTTTTCTACACAGAACCGGACCCAAGGGGGCAGAGTTTGGGCAAGTCCTAGCCAGGAATCGATATGGGGGAACTGATCTGAGTGTCCAGGGGTGCCTGTAACTTGTTTTTAGACTGCCTGGATAATAGAAGTGTCGAGGGTGCCCGAATCGGGCCACCTAACTCCAAAGGAAGGCCACTTTACTTCGCAGAGTGTCTGGAGGCGATGTGGTGACATCTTAATTCTGTAGTCACCTGAAAATCCCTTCCTAAAATTTTTGATCGTATACCTAAGGACAGTTGGCTTAGATTCTTTCCCTCCCACACAATGGTGTCCTACTGATCGGTGTCGCACAAGGAGGGGCTTTACTGTCAGATGTCCGCCTGGCTGCTCCCCTCGCGGGGATTTAGGCACGTCTTGGCGAAGGTGCACCCGTATAAACCCTGGGCCTGGTCACTCTCCTTCCGGAGGGTGAGTCGCCGTTATGCCATATGAAGCTGCCACAGAACCGCAGGTTGGGACCCAGTCAGACTCCGTCGCTTTTGGCCGTGGAGCTGTAGCACTCACGCTCACACACACAGGCTATCACATTCCCTCCCGGCTTTTGGGGAACCTTAAACCTTCCTGGGACAGACAGAGGTTTTACATTCCCCCCCTGGGAATTTTAACCTTTCCTTTAGGAGGTGATCAAGCTCCTCTTCCGTCCTGAGACGGGCCTGGCTACCTTTGGACAGGGTCCCGGGACCTCACCACGGCCAACGTCTGACGTCGTTTCCCGGTTGCCTGGTCGCCAGTACTTTACCGCTGTCCAGGACGATCCTGGGCTCGGTTGGCGGAGCCCCTCCGAGTGAAGAGGACAGTATCCCCAAGCTCTCTCTCAGTCCTAAGGGGCCCGGCGTCCCATCCCAAGCCGGTGGCCTTAAAGGGCCAGCGCACTCGGGTTTCCCGGTCAGGGAACCAAATGTTACAGCAGAGTTGACCAGGAACAAACCGAGCTGCACACAGAAATATGGCAAAACAGGTTTATATACGCTGGTGGGCTCAGAGGGGGATTTTTCCTCCCAAATTCTGAGCCCCGAGTAAAGAACATATCAGTCTTTTACACATTTTGCTTGGGGCACAGTTAACGAGTGAGGAAGTGGGGCATAGTTACAAGGAGGTCATTCTTCAGTGGGGGCAGGGGCTGGAGCACCCTTAGTTCCAGGTACAGAGATCCTATGGAATGTCTTCCTGTCTTATCTCACCTTAGCAGGAGTTGTTGCAAACGGTTTACAGCTGTTTAGGGAAGACAGTGGGGTAGAAGCCCTGGCAGTGGAATTTTCCACTACAGAATCACACCACTAGCCTAGTTTTCTAGCCTGTAGCTGGGCTTCTTGGCCTCCATAATCAATCTCCCCTACGTACCTGTATTATATCCTATCGTTTCTGACTCTCTGGAGAGCCCCAGTACAAGTGCCGAGGCTGAGACCCCCTGCTGCAGCTTGCCTTCTTCTTTGGTGCTTGAAGCCTCACCATAAAGCCCACGCCTGTAAGGAGAAAGACAGGAATTTTGCAAACAGCTGCTGTGGGCATAGACAGCAATTCCTGTGTAGATTTGCCTACTGGGAGAGAAACTGTGGGCCCAAACGACACTACTGCTTCTTTTCTTTTTTGTAAATTTTAAAATCATGCTGTCTTTTCTCTATAGATGACTTTTTCCAGTCCTAGTGCTTCAAATATCACCTAGACACTTTCAACCCATAACTTTATTTCCTGGCCAGACCTGTCTTCTGAGCCTGAACTCATATACGGAAAGGTCTACTGGACGTCTCCACCCAGATGATATGGGCGTATCTAAAATTTAATTCCCAAATTCTTCAAATTCCTGTGTCCTTCGTCTGCCCCAACCCAGTACTGAGTCTTCTTCCTCTCAGTCCGCCACTATCACCGTCTCCCGTTGGCTTCACCACTGGGAAGTCACACCCTCTCCCCAACCGCCCTCCTCCCCAGCAACCCCGCAACACACGTGTACAAGCGCACACGCACACGCACGCACAGCTTCGCTCAACCCTCTCCCTCCCGCAGCCCACCCCAAACTCCTGCCGTATTCCTTGGATTTCTGCACTTTCCTCCAAACCAGGAGAGTGGAAACACTTTCACTCCTGTCTCCCTATGATGCATTTTCCACACAAGAGCCAGAATGATCTTAAAACATAAATAAGCTGAGGTCGTTGCTTTCCAGAAACACTCCAATGCCTTCCATTGCAGTTGAGGGGATGCAAATTTTGTAACATAGCTTGCAAGACCCCCAACTTTGGTCCTTTGGGGTGGGCCTTCTCTCCGGGCCCCGGAGACACCAGGCTTCCCTAGCCTCGGGGCCTTTGCAGACGCTGTTCCCTGTGCAAGGCCCTTCCCTTGCTCTTCCCCTTGCCAAGGACCGTTGCTTCTTCAGGCCTCAGCTCGTGGGCACGTGCAGCATTTGGGCCTGTGTCGCTGGAGGGCTGACTTGCCATTTCTTCTCTTTTCTCTTTTCTCCGGTGGCCCTTGCAGAGGCTTGGAGTCTCCTCAGTGTCACTCTGCTTCTCTCTGAGGTTCCAGGACTAACGGCAGGAATCCTAGGCCCCTCATCCCCCCAGCCTGTTCCTGCCTCGCAGGGTAGAACTCAAAGAGCTGCCCCTGCATCTAGCCTGTGGCAGAAGCCTCTGGTGGCAGCTCCCTCTGCCCTGTGCCCCGTCCCTTAAGGAGCTCCCCGGAGCACAGCTTCGCGCCCACTCCACTCCTGGTCCCTGCAGAGCGCCACACTCGGGCCGTCGAGAGTCTGCCAGGGAGGATCCAGACGTTTCCCCTGCAGGTTCTCAGTGTCGCCTTCTCAGCTTTGCCCTGTGCTCTAATGATATTCTATCCACTTTGGCTTTTCTAGAAATCTGTCCAAATCCCACTCATAGGGTTGTTTCACGCATCTCAACTATCACTTCAGTGGGTTTGGGGAAGGCAGGGAGTACTGGGGTTCATCAGCCTGGAAATCTTCGACGCTGCCAAGATGTGCAGGCGCAGTTTGGGGGCTGCCTTCAGACGTCACTGCTGTGGGGCTGGAATCGATGGGGCTGAAAAATGGAAACTGGGTCTGTTTGGGACAATGTAGGACGTGCATAAGATTGTGTAGGAAGAAAGACCCAGGCTACAGGGGCCGGGATGAACAGCGCTCCAGAGCGAGCTTTCTCGGGTTCCCCAGAGAAGAGCGATTCCTTCTGCAGGATGTCCCAAAAGTCTCCAAACGAAGGAACAGTTTTGTAAAACTTTGTAGTGAATATTTTGTAAATAAAGGTACATTTAGCTACAATTTCCTATTTTCTGTATGTATGGCGACTTTTGGGAACCCTGTAGATTTCTCAAGATGTCCTCGAGCTTTATCACCACCAGAAATTAATGTTTAACCACACATAAGGCTGAAAATGCAAGAACAGGGAAACATGTGGGGTCAGAGTTGCAAGAAGAGTGAGTGACCTTCCTGAGCACCCCTCAGCGGTCCCGGACGCTGGTGGACCCCACAAAGGAGAGGAGACCTGTGAGGAACTAGGACTCCCAGCAGGTGAGTCTCCGGCTTTGTACTTAATCAGATCGTAAGGGCTGGAGACAACAACACTGTACCCTGACTCTCTGGCCCCACGGTACTGAATGTTTGCTTAAAGGTTAACTCGCTTGAGGAATGGGGCTTGCGACGGGCCCGGGGCTTTCTCTCGCTCTGGAGGCCGGCAGAGTTCTCGGCCCCGTGGGGACCGTGTCCTTGGGTGCTCACCCAGAACACGCGTGTGGTGAGGAGCTGGGAATGATTTCACAACTGCGGCTCAGGAGCAAATGCAGGTCAGACGTGGATTCCACCACTCTCTTCCACGTACCACCAAGGCGGCGTCGGGTATTTCATTCCCCTGAGCCTCTGTTTCTTCCTCTGTAAAGTGGAGATTTTTATAGTACCTATCTTGTCAGGTTCTTGTGAGGATTAAATCCCATAATTATGGAAAATGCCCAGCATATGGGAGGTGATTAATAAATACGGACACTTCCCTTATGTTCATAACATCTGTGGCTCTGTGGGGCTTCTCCCCTTTTGACAGATGGTGCAGTCCACTGACAGGTAAATTCAGCGTCTGCCTACGTGGCGTGACTCGAGAATTAAAAGATCTGTCCTGCAGGCTTGCCATGCTGACTGCCCTTCCCTCAGAAGCTAGTTGCATTTCTTAAGCACTTGCTGAGTCATAGGCACTGTACTAAGCTCACATGAAGGGTTCATCGGAGCCTCTTGGAGATGAGAAAGTAGGGTCTGGAGGGATGGGAGAGGGCGGGCAGGAATGTGGGAGGTGGGAAATGCTGGGGATGGATCACAGCTGGGAAGTGGGGAGCAGAGCTGGACCCAGCCGGGAAGGCTCTGGGCTTCCAAGATGGCTCAAGCTCGCAGCAGCCGCCATGCCCAGCCAAGGCTGGCATCGTCATCTGGGCGAGAATCCCTGTGCACAGCCCAGGACCCCACGGCTGCCAGTTCAG